TGTGAATGTGAGTGTGCTTGGTTGTCTGTCTCTAAGTGTAGCCCTGTGATAGACTGGTGACCTGTCCAGGGTGTCCCCTGCCTTCACCCTAAGGCAGCTGGGATAGACTTCATTCCCCCCCACCCCACCCACCCCCGGGCCGGCAGGAGAACGTAGGGAGACTTGGGCTGGAGCAGAGCAGGCTGAGGCCAGTGACCACGCTGTGACCAGGGAGCAGAGCAGAGTGAAGCAGGGAATCCAGTCAGAGGTTGGACCAGACAGCTGAGCTGAACCCGGTTGAGGCTTTGCTATGAGTGTATCCAGAACTGTATTCAAGAGCAGCAGGAGAGAGCCGTATGCAGGAGGCTGGTCTGACAAACTGCAGGCAGTGCAAACAGAAATAAGCACAGCAATAACTGAGAGTTACAAAATGTGCTGATAGCTGGAACAAGACTGACTCAGTAACAACGTCTACAATCTGGCAATAAGTAGAGCTCTGAGCTGGACTTTTATAGCAGAGGAGGATAATGAGTAACAGGTGACCAAACCTCCCATGCAGCTGTCTCCACTCCTACAACTGCCAACACCCACTCACACAGCAGGCCCACAGGGACACCGCAGAGAGGGAAGGGGAGAGGGCCACTGGCAGCTTTCATTTGGGCAACTGAGTTACTTCCTTTTGTCAAGTAAAAAATGTAACCCTGTTCACAGCTTTTATTGTTTGTTATGGAGTGCTGCTGTCCATGTCTACACACTTCATCCTCATTTTAAGAACTTTCAAATGTTTGGATGAGGACTGAACAAGGAAATCCCTTTTAATGGCACGTCATTTGTCCAAATACACAACCCAAACAATACATATGCAAACAAATGGTCTTGTTCTTATTGAATCATGTTTAAACATGATCAAAAGACATGCTTCCTGCTGCCTCTACAATACAGAATACACATTTCAAGCAATGAGTTCAAAAATTCAACATTCAAAACAGCTTCAACTGTCCGACTGTTGCTTCAGAGTGCAGTGAGTGTAGAAACTGTCTTGTTATGTCAGTTACACTTTTATTCACTTGTTTTGTAAAGTTTCAGTGTTGGCTTATTCACAGTTAGAAGCAGCCACTGAAAAAGGAAGTCTAACAAAATAAAATGCGCAACATGAAGAGGTCTGAATACTTTCTTGAACACATTGTTACTTTGTGTCAGATGAAAACTTAGTTTTCTAAAATAGTATTAATACACATCTTACACATCCACATCTGACATCAACTTATGTTTTGATTGTTGATATTGTTACAAACATAAATTCAAATTGGCAATAAATTCTGGTCAATCAATAAAACAGATCAAATGATGTGCAGTTCAGAACAGATTGTTCGTGGGCTGAATTGTGTTAGTTTTTTGTCAGACTGCTATCAAATCTATGCATCTCTTCTTTTATTAGGAGAGGAATAAAGAAAGAAAGTTAGGTATGTGGGGAGGTGCTGGTTCTTTTCTGTAGGAGGCCAGATAGGATCCTGGGCCTCCCTCCATATCTGAGTGAGCATGATTTATAGTGAGAGACTTAATGTTCACTGTTTTAGGAGCAGCTTGTTCAATGGAATTTGATGTTCCTGTTTTAATGGTGGTGTGAGTTTGGACACTGCAGTGTGGCTTAACAGCATTTTATGAGGGGCTCACTTTGACATAGCAGGTGTATATGAATGATGTTGTTTAGGCAGATTGGGGTTTAAAATGTTGCTTGTTAAAATGGTTTTATGTTGTGGTAGGAAGGTTTAATCAGTTGTCTAACTGTGTGTTTGTAATTGTTGTCTTTGGTCTTGACAGTGATTGCTCTGCAGCCTGTTTCCAGCTGCCCTTTTCTGGTTTGCTTTATAATATCTGTTTGCTTCAGTTTGTTTGTTTGGAATGTGGATGAGGAGCACCTGGGAGTGGGACTTCTAACTGCTTTTGTTTTTAGTTAAGACTTTCATTTGTTTATTTTATTCTATATTAATCACTTCCCTACTACATTCTGGTGTTTGCAATTAGTAACCTTAATCTCTAACAGCACTGAGACCAGTCTTGTGTGTTGATTGTATCCACAAACAAATGTATTACAGTTTCATTAAATATGTGATGTGATAATTATGAGTGAAGTGACGTTTGATTTTCTCTGGTTCTCAGGTACAAGATGTAGACAGCAGCTATAAGCCTGCCGTTGCACAGCTTTCTCTTCCCCATCCGCTATCCATGTGTTACTGTTTTCAGAATCCCCTTCCGCTACAAGAGACAACAACAACACGTACAGTGAGTTTGTATTTTAGTGGAGCAGAGCAGCAACAAGACGGCGACTGCTGGTAACAGATAGTTCTAATGAGATGTGTTTCAGGCACGATTTCTTTCTCGCTCTGTTGTCTGACAACAGAATCTGAAAACATGTAAAAGAGAACAGTTTTATTGGGAACTGGGCTGCATTAAAATACAATGTAAGTGAGCACAGAGAGCAAGAGAGAAGCAAACAGATGTTAAAGTGCCTCCTATACAGCTGTGAACTGCTGCTGCTGAAACTCTGCACAGTGTACAAACCTCCTTTTATTCTAGGATCATGTGAAGTCCTTCATGCACTCAGAGCCCTGTGTTGTTGGACACTTTGACATTTAACCAAGTTGGACTCTGCTGCTGCAGCCATTGTTTAAAAGTGTACCACTGACTGCAGCTGACCAGTGACTTGAGCCAAAAACAAATGATGCATGATGTGGCAGCTACACAGTGATACTGAGGATAAACATTTGCTGAAATTAAGTGAAGTAAAAAAAAAAAAAAACATTATCCGTAAAAATAGTAATGTCAAACGCCCTAGTTTAGGAGATATCAATAACTGAGCATTTCCCCTGTAGCAATGATGGTAAGGTACAGTCAGACCAGTCTGTGTAACTGCAGTCCCAGTCAGACTACAATTAATTATATATATAATCATAATTATTTATAGTCCAGCAATAGTTAGTGGAGTATATGATCAGTCCCTTTGAGGATGATCTAACACGTTCACTGTCCGTCATGTGTGTTTTGTGTTGAAATCAGTAGTCATGCCGCTTCATGACTGTAGCATGAGGTCAGATATCAGAACATGTCAAGTTACAATTTTGAGGCACAAAACATGTTCCGCCTTAAATGGACGTTAAGAGAGAAAAGGACTTCCAAAGGTCCTGAAGAAAGTACCCGAGATTTATCCCGATTTGATGATTTCACCAACATGAAACCAAGTGTTGATAACGGTCTGCACAGCACACAGATGAACAGCGGACTAAAGGTGCTCACAGATATTTCGGTGTGTTTACTTTGCCGAATCAAAAACAAATACTGGCTAAACACGAGGCTAACACTGAAGCAGCGTCCCAGCTGCTGCTGGTTCTGACAGACACCTTCATGGAGGACCTGGACGTGTCTCCTCACATCGAGCTCCAAGGCGGGCAGCAGCGCTGGTTTGGGCGGCTGCATGTCGCCGCCTGGGCAGCGGGCTGCTGAGGCCGGAGGGGCGGGGTGAGGCAGGGGGAGGCGGGGTGAGGCAGAGGGAGGCCAGGGAAGGCGGGGTGAGGCGGAGGGAGCTGGGTGTTGCCTCTGAGCTCTAGTCAGGATTTCCAGTCAAGACTGAGCCCGACAACTGTCTGCCGCCGCCGTCCTCTCTATAGCGAACAGCGTCCACCGGATCACCATGGGAGTCGAAGGTTGCACCAAATGCATCAAGTACATGCTTTTCTTCTTCAACTTCATCTTCTGGGTAAGCAGCGTGGTTTCTTTGTGTGTTCAGTTAGTTGCGCAGCGCCTCCTCCTCCGTGTGTTAGCGGTTTTCTGGGGCTGCCAGTCCGTCATCAATGAACTGAGCTCGTCAAAACATCCCCCTCACATTGTGCTCCTTCTGCCTCCTGACTATTTGCTGGATGCTCCAACACTGGCGGACATCATGGCGGCACGAGGCTAATCTAATTAATGGCAGAAAGGCGTGTGTGGTTAATTTACGTAACTACACATTCGAGAGGAACCAAAAAATTACGGTGTATTTCCAGGCAAACAGCCCGCTGAGCAGAGAGCAGGACACGAAGCCACCAAACACCGCCTTTATCTCCGCCAGGACAAAGTCCACGCTGTAGTTTTAGTATCGTGATAAAACGCACTGCTGAGCAGTTTTGGGTCACTGGTGAAAGTTGAAAAAGCATAGAGAGCAATAATAAGTTGGTAGTTTAGTAGTTTGCAGGTCTGCTGTGGATGGTGCTGGGCTCCTAGAAGGCTTTGTTTAAATCACATCCTCCACCCAACTGGAGGAGTTGTGGTGGGGGATGACATGGTGGTTTCCATTTGTTGAGTCAAAGCCTGTGTTGGGTAATGGATCATGGAAACATTTACTCTCCCTGAGCTCTTCCACGCTTTTCTGAGTCATGTCCTTCACTTATCACAATTTACTTTGGTACTTTTTTCTTTATATCTTCCATTAGTTGTTTAAAATTCAGCAGGTCAATGAAAAAGACAGCTCAGTGTTACAACAATGACTTGTTGTTGCGTTGACTGGATATTTCACACAAAGTCCATTTTGAGAGACAGAGTTACGCCTTCAAAGATTTACGATCATCCAGACCATTCTCTGTGTAGAATTATCAGACTTCACCTTATTATCATTCTGCTGTAAGAAAATAAAAAGCTCTGCCAATCACAGTCGTGTAGGGCGGAGCCAAGAACAGGCTGCAGCCATGGGTTGTGTCCGAAGTCATCCGCTCACGGTCTGCTCCATATCTAAGAAATGGGTAAAATCAAATTCAACAATACAGCCTAACTGGGAAATGACTTACATTTTAATGGCAAGTTTTCACGCCCTTAGTCGGCTCGTTCGCGCAATGCATGATGGTACATATTGCTCGGTTAGTGATCATCTGCTGTACGCTACTTTTCATGATGCGTTGTGGGATATTTTGAGTGCACTATCTAGGGTGTTATATTTTTATATTTGTAACTTATCATTCAGACAGCACTACAAAATGGCCAACACCCTATATAGTGTACTACATAGGGTATGGTGAGTGATCTCGAATACAGCCATGATGTTTTTGTATGGTGACTATTTTGGTAGAACACTTGCACGCAGGGAGGTCAGCGTGGTCATTATTTTGGCCGAGGATGGTTTTTTAAACGATATCTCATAGATAGCGGAAAGGATGGAGAAAACTGTGTGAAATGCACGGCCAATGGCAGGCTTACACCCGCAGTCTACATCAAGTGAGTCAAACTAACAGATACCAAAACACGGCACAGCTTTTTATCATATGATGACATGTGGCCCATCTGTCACTGGAGAACTCAATGAGGAAATGACTCTACTTCTCCCTCATAGCATTATGTTACAAAACATTCTTCTATTGAGTTTATTATGGTCTCAATACTAGTCTACATCAGCGCAGCATTGTGGTCATTTTGTAAATCATGGTACTATTTTGAGTAAAATCGACACTACCACAGGGTATGTTTTAGGGCGGGGCAACCTTGCGATTGGCTGATCACTGCTAGATTGCTGTGTGTAGTTTGTAGTATAGTTTGGAGCAAATTCTATTTATGAGGGGTTGTCCTGGCTGATTATTAATATTAGTATTTGACATTTTTCCAGGTATTGATATTATTATTATTTTTATTGCTTGCTTAATAAATAAAACTTGGGCTTCAATGAAGCTGTCCCTTTCTGCAGTAACTCAGTGGTCTCCAACAATGTCCCGCCCACAGCTCTATTCTGATTGGTTGCATGTCACCAGTAACAGCCAGTCACTGAAATCTATTGTTTACTCACAGAGACAGATGAGAACATTTGCAGAGTGGGGTAGCTCTGGTAAATTAGCGGTGCTGTGTTTGGAAGGTGAGGTAGCACATGCTTGCTGAAGTTGTTATTAACGCCACAGTCTTCCAGTAGCATTTCCAGTGTGCCTGTTATACAGAAGCTGTCCCAATAGTTCACTTACTGGTGTTGGCAAGTCAGGCAGCTGGAACTTATTTTGCCAACAGTACTAGCCTGAGGAAATCACTGTGAGGTTTGCTGTGCCTGTTAGCCTGCTGCTAACGCTGTCTGGAGTGTAACATCTTCCCTAAGTAAGATTAACTTTAACAGTATGTTCTAACTGACAGACACGTCTGTCCGGTACAGACACAGCCTGCATCAACTAAACAATAAGCACAGCCATCTCCACGAATCAGGACATTGGCTACATTCACAGTATCTAAGGTTATGCTAACAGCTAGTGGAAAAGTTATGAGACAGCCCCAGATTACCCTGAAACAGTGTCTGGAAAAAAAAAACTAATAATGTTCTCAGATATTGGGCAGTAAAAGTGAGAGAAGAGGGGAAAATGAAGAAAACAGAAGACAGAAATACCAGAAAAGGCAAGACAAAACTGTTTAATCTCAATTTGTTCATCTCACAGTAAACAGAGGAGAGCATCATAGTATCATGTGACACTTTAACATCACCACAACTGTTTCTGTTTTATATATTCAGTTATAATGATTCTTACTAATAAAGAAGCTGAGTTTCGAATGACAGGCACCTGGCTATGCCATGCTGGGACAGTTCAATGTATGTCAGTTCCAAATATCATTCACCAGCCTTTGCTGATGAGTATTTACCGATACTGCCCCTAAAAATAAAGACTTTATCAGTCGATTCCGAGTATTTACCTTATATCAGTCGACACTGACTTTGACCGGGACATTCTGCATTTGTCTTGATGTCAGTTATTTGTCTTTTAAGACATGACACATTTAGGGCTGGACCCGAATATTCAAACATTTGTTCGTCATGGTAGTATCTGGATAGTAGTTTTGATATTCGAATATTGACCTTACTATATGAAGTGTCCTAAGATAACTTACGATTTGAATTGGTCCTATGTAAATAAAATGGAATAATGTTCAAATAAACAGTGCAGTGCTGAAGTTTTGGGCACTTCACATGTTCCTTGATATTTGGTCAAAACTGGGCCTTAGACTTAAAGAATAAACAACAAAGTTTCTTTTCCTAATGTTTGTCTTGTGCTCATGCAGGTGCTGTCCTCATCTCTCACACACCCACATGAATGTTTTTTCCTTCATTTATATTAAATATCAATGTCTAAATAAACAACCATAAAACTTTAAATCATTATTAGAATTAAATTTAAGAGTAAAGACACCGCTGCTTGCCTTAATCAGGACTGTGTGACTGTGAGTTGATCGGACAGCAGCCTAGCATTGAGAGCACACAACCCAACTACTGCCACCAGATTCCTTTATAGACCCTTTTCGATTCTGACTGATAAAAATGCATGACATACTATTTTTCAGTAGGTTTTGTCAATTTGAACCAATAAGAAAAGCACTGGCAGAAGAAAAATGCCAGGATGTCTTATGAAATAGTTTGAACACAGGCAAAGAATAGTGTGTGTTTGTAGGACTCAGCTGTTCATTGTTAGAAGCTGACTGAGAAAACTAATTCTTCTAATCATTTGTAATGATGACAAAACATGAATAGGAAAAGAACATCTTGTGGGATGTGTGACTCACTGTGGTGTGGGTGTGGCTGGGTGTGGTGGTGGTGGGTCATAGTGTGGATGGGGGTTGGTGTGGTAGGAGTCTTGTGTGAATTGCAGACAAGACCCCAACCCCCACCTCCAGCATGGCCAACATTCTCTATCCCACTTCTGCAGCGGGCAGAAATAGACACTGGTGGGAGAGCTGACAGGGAAACTTGAGCTGTTCAGTCTGACACGGAAATATATTTGAAGTAAATTTCAGTCTAATTTCCTCTCTCAGTGGTGCTTTGAGCGTCATTAAGTCAGTCCGAGCTGTTGGAACTGGCGTTTTTCCTGCCTTGCAACACATTTAAACTTTCATCATGGTAGTCTTAGTTTGGTTCGATCCAGCAGGAGCCTGATCCGCCTGTACCAGCACCACCAGTAGGTATGCGCTCTTTGGTGAGAGCAGGCAGCAGTAAACCTGATGGTGCCGGCCCATCTGTGTAGACGGTTTTCTTGGTGTGGAATGTGTGACAACAAATATAGTGACTGACTGAGCAACAGATTGTTAGAGAATGCCTTGTTGACATCTGCCAAAAATATTATTAGTTACTGAAAGTGGTGCTCACAGTCTGCCTGCTGTGTTCTTCGTTCGCCCCAGTGTGTGCCTCTGCACTACCAACCTAAGACAGATTGTAGCATAGTTTATAAGTGTTGCGTGCCCTCGTGTTTTCCCGTTTTAATTTCCTGACAAAAGATTATACATTTATTTTTTACAATATCCAAATTGCTAGATGGGCATTTTTTTCCACAACATACTATCATCCATGCAGCATTGTGGTGCTACAGAGATGTCCTAGTAAACAAATCATATTGCCTAGACATGAGGGAACTTGTTTGGTATAGTCTGCAACAATGATTCCGTCCTTTTCTTTGTGAAAGCAATGCAAAAAATGCTGTTCATATTATAATCATGACTCATATCACAGTTACAACATCCGTCATGTCCCATTAGCAACTACAGTCAGTCTCTCTTGGCTTGGTGGTCCTTCGTGAAGGAACACGAGGATCTGACTGACAGAAGGAGTTATATGAAAGTTTTCTACTTTAAAGAATCATAAAGGTATGTATTGTCCTGCCCTAATGGGGACAACAGAACTAACAGGAAAGTGAGAAAGTAAAACAAGTACAGCCTTTACACTGAGAAGAGGTTCAGTCAGAAAAAATGAGAGAAAGCAGATGTGGATGGGAGAAT